GATATATTTCTCCAAGTCTATTTTGAGGCAAATGAAAGGAAAAAATGGCATTGTAATATAAAAATATTTTAGGCTTTAGAATAATTATGATAAATCTAATACTGCTTTGTTACGAAGAGGAGGATATTACAGTAAGCTGTCTCTTTAGGAAAAAAAAAGAGTGTTTAAATAAAAAGAACAATAATTCATCCTTATCATTTCCTTTTTCAATTTGTAATGCAGCCTGTTCTTTGTTCTTTTTTTAAAAAAAAAAATGTAGATTATATATTTGGCAGGAGTTTTTAATATTAAAGAAAAAAAAAGCCTAGTTTAAAAAATCCTGTTTGGCCCTATGAGATCATTATTTTAATGAGAATATTGCTGTGTGTTTGTCTAATTCACTGCCTATTTTGTCTGTTTTTCCTCCGTTGCTTTTAGAGTTTCTAGTTTCAGATATAATCTATTAAGCGGAGTATTTTTCAGTAGTTGAGGTTTTTCCCACCTGTCTACCCTAAAACACCTGCAACATATGTTTGTGTAACCCCGCAACGCTTTGTGCTTTGGGCCTTGAGAAATTCCCCCAGAGCTTTTTGCTTATAAACAGCTGAGCAATTCATTTCTCTAATGACAAGCGCTTTTCCCTTGGCATTGAAGCAATGGCATGTTCACTAAAATAAGTCTCATCTTTCATCAGACATCCTGAAAACCTTGTTTTTCTGTAGTTACGCTGAACCTCCAGCTATTGTGCAAAATGTTATTTGATTTTTTTTTTCTGTACAAAGAAGGGATAGAGAAAATAGGATGAAGAATAGAAAAGTGTTGTAGAGATTCCTCCCCTAGCACCTGYGAGTTAACTTTTATGAACAGTGTATTCCAGTGGTTAAGGAGGACGTTGCAGCAGTATCCTGGTTTTCCTAATTTGCCGAAACCGCCTTCCTGGGACTCGTGTCACACGGGCTTGCTCTGCTCGTCCTAGCTGCTCCATCTCTAATTCCATGCAAATGACCCTGGGAGCCGGGCAGGGGGAGGGTGGCCTTTCTTCCTCCTCCTTATTTCTCAGTGACCTAATTCGGGATAGAGAAATCATTCAGCTTTCCCGCTCCCGCGCAGTCCGTGCGCGTGGGCAATGCGGCCGGCACGTGAGGCTTTCCGCGGTCGTCCGGAGTTGGAGCGACCCCGTGTTCGCCGCGTGTGAAGTTGTGCTGGAAGCTGTAACCGCCCGGAGCGGGGACCTTTCCTGACGGGAATGCACGGAGCTTCCCAGCAGCTTGTGCAAGTTGAGCACAGGCAGCCCTGAGGGAGACCCAATTCCCTACTCGAGAAGAGAGGGAGGGAAAAGAAAGTGTCTGGGAATTCCCGGCATGGGAACTAGAGCAAGGAAGTCTGCTCGTGACCAAGAATAGAGAGGGATGAYAGGGTTAACAGACACCTGCAAACAGATGCATGGATTTTTTTTCCACCTACACAATGTGCCTATAAATGAGGGGACTTAGCAGGTTTCTCTCTTTAAAAATGAGGAAGGGGGGGGGGGGTCTTTTATTCAAGGGAGGGGCTCAGAAGCTGGAGTACCTAAGAGAATCCTTAAACAATTCCAGCCATCTCTGCTACTTGGGCTGCAGCTCGTGTGCAGAGACAAAAGTCCCAAATCCCACCAGTTTCTACATGTGCCTCTGTGACTGTTTTTAGTAGGTCGTCCTTCAGACAGTTGAAACTGAGCTCACTCTAGCTGAAGTTATCAGAATAGAGACATAAACCAGCAGACTTATTAGTACAAAATGGATGTATAATATAGGCATGGGCAGCTTTTCTGTCCAGTTTCTGTGTTCTGTTTCTTTAGAAAGAAAGGGGRAAAAAAAAGTATTAAGCCGTTTAATGCCCTGACGCAATTTAGTAGGAGCACTCACCAAGCTACTAATTTGAAGAGTTGATTTCATCGTCATTAACAACATTTTCCTTTTAAAAGAACAGAATTTTGTCTGAGGTACTAGTCAAAATACTTAGATAAATTGAACAAAATAAGGAAAACTTTAATAGCATAAGGAATTAAAACATAAATAGGATTGTTCTAAATCACTTTGTAGAAAAAAATATGGCTACTGTGAATATTTTAAACAACACAGCTATGTTATTGCTTTAAAGCAAATGTGTTTAATCTTCTCTCCTAATGCATGGAACTTTTAATACAAGGGAGAGCTAAAACTAGATGCTTAGGGAGAGGAATTAGTTCAAAGCTTATACGGCAGAGACATTGCAACTGCATAGGTTTTCCTTTATGCTTCTTATATATAACTTATTAAAAGAGTTAAAAGCAGTATAAAAGATAAAGGGCATTTTATCATAGTGATGTAAACAAACTGTATTTTTTGCTCTCTGAAGTGCAGCTTTCAGGAATATTTGATATTTGGTTGTTCCTACTCTGTAGATACTTGCCTCCTAACATATATAGCCATTTTCTTTAATAGAATTTTCTGAAAGGATATCTTTGTAGAGTTACAAGAGAATTTCCAGCCCTAACCATTGGTATTTACTGTCTTGCAGTTCTGATGTTGTTTTTTCAACATTATTTTTTTGAGGGCTTTTTTTTTTTCMCTGCATGTAATAGTGCTTTAAACTGCTGCTTCCTTTGATGCCTTTAAACCTCCTGGGAATTTAAATAGGCCCCTGTGAAAGTAATGCTTGAGCCTCATTCATACATTCAACTTAGATCGTTATTCCTATTAATGGCTTTAAGTGCTTAGATAGTAGATCAGCTTTTCATGTCTTGAATTGCTTGTCACTTCTGCATAAATACATTTCAAAAAAATATTCCGGAAGATTTTTTCCTTCTTTATTTTATTTTTTTTTTCAGAAGCAATCACACTGTTGGTTTGCTGGTTGGTAGAAAAGAAACTCCATTGTTTTTGCTACAATTAAAATACATACTGAGTTACTGGAAACTGTTTGTGAAGCTGAGCTAGCAACTGTTAAAGGGATTTTTTCAAGGGCTGCTCTGTGAATTGAAAGCAGCAGCTGTTTTAACCTTCGCTTGTTCTGCTGCCTTGTTGAAGTGGTCATCGAGTCACATATGCAAGAAGTTACTCAGTTGATGAGAGAAGAGACGCACTGTTTAATTACTCGAATAGTAGCCGCAGAACCATCCGTTATCCTCCTCACGTCAGTTCGGATTTGATTATCATAGAAATGCATTGAATTGCCAAACTGGAGCAATAGTAACTAAAGCTGATTCATTGTTATTGCTGTCAGTTGATGAGGACTGACTTACAAGCCATCTGAATGAGTAGAGTTATGCAAATATTGTTTTTATAACAAGAGAAGAAAAATGTACAGCGGCCATTACTGTGTGGGTGGCAGAACAGATGAGAATTTTTTTAATGCTTGTCTAATAGCTTTTAGCTGTTTTTTTATTTTCAGGAACATTACAAACAGGATATCTTTAAAATATGTTTAATGTCTTTCCAAAGAAAGGAAATGAGGCATTTCATACCAGATTAAATCTGAAAACCTGAAAGATCTGGAAATTCCCAGCTTAAGTTTGACCCCAGAGACCATCCTTGGCCTTTGGTATCTGCCAGCTCTTCAAATCTTCCTCTCTCTTTTTGTGAATATGCAATGTTTTGGTCATTAAAATGCAAATTCTACCTCCTTCTCCCCAAAAAATTAGAATGTTTAGCAAGGAAGGAGGGTTTACAGCAATTGCCCAAAAATCAGAGGATAAAGTGTGGAAACCAGAGTCCCTATTACAGTTAGGAGAGAAAAGATAGAACAYGTGTAAGCAAAAAATAGCTGAAGAATGAGCCCATCAAAGCCAGAATATCTTTCATCTGTGAACAACCCTTTCAGAAAGATTATTGTGTAGTTCATTAAAACTATACTTTCACCAGGGCGGAAGAAAGCATATCAGAACACARCATGTTAAGTTGCTAATAAACATTTAAGCAACTACTTGAAAAGCATTGAGAGATGTTATGTACAATACCTCTGATTATTACACAGAAAGGCTGAGGAGTATTTATCATTTTCTGTTTTCTTGCACTAGAAATCGGTTATTTTAAAACATTACTCTTTGTAAATATGAACACATGTATATGAATTCATATATATATATGCCTTTGTAACTCTTTATTATTTTGGTTCAATCCATAATCTATATGCTTTATTTTTTTACTTTAAAAATACTTTTCTTAAGTTTTCTATTTGCCAATAATGTCCTTTTCAATTCATGAAATCAAATATCTTTTAACATTACTGGCCTACATGTGTGATCAATCTTTGCTGGAATTTCAGACCAAAAAAAGATGATTTCAGTACTACTTCAGGCAGTGTGCTTAAATGAAATAGGCAAAGGTGAAGATTAATAAACAGTTTTATATTTCAGTATTTAYTATATGTATTATATGACAACAGTGCAGTTCTCTATTTGGGGTTTCTGGTTTTAGCAGAGTAATTTAGACAGAAGAAGGACTCCATGTGCCATCTAGTGGTTATGTTTAGATTGTCTGGCTCAATAAGTTGCTCTTTGCTTAACCAAGACTTAAACCTGCATTCATTTTAAACTGTAAGCTAAGCTAGTAAGTTTGTCCTTATTATCATTATTTCCTTTAAAACATCTCATTGAAGTTTGAAGGTGATAAAATTATTTGTCCAAATTAAAGGAAGAACAAAACTAGATCTGGATCTGAACTTTTCCATGAATTCTAAATCTAATTAGAAGCATCATCATTGCATCCAGTAGTCTAATCTTGAGATGGAGGAACACTAATTTCTATAAGCATGAAGCAGACTAAATGTCTTGGTTTTATTTCAAGATTTCACTTATTTAGCTATGTTACTGTCTTCAGAAACCACAGTTCTGGGAAAATAAAATGTATTCTTTAAATTCTTTGTCTTCAGYGATAAAAATTCTTCTATTCTCTGCTCTAAGTTGCTTCAGAAAGCTTCAGCAGGGTATATGTTTGTGTTTGTGTATGTATATATGTATATAAATGTAATTTTTTTAATTGCAACACTTATTTTGTATTTAGAAAAATCCAAGACCAGTGACACACCAGTTCCAACAGAATTTAGACTATTACAAAGCACGTGGAGCAGACTTGATGAATAAAACTCGGTAAGCTATTTCTGAAGATGTTTTTATGGAACTGAGATTTTACTTAAACAAAATATTAAATAAACGTTTTTTACTGCAAACAGGAATTATATAACCAGCATTAAAAACACAAATGTTTGTTGTGTGAAATTCATTTTGATTCTTTACCTGTTATTACATGATGAATGAAGGCTGCACAGGTAGCGCTGTATTCAGCTTGTGATATTTTTCTTTTAAGACTTAATTTATTTGTACACAGAGATGAATATGCTAAAAGCAAGGGATAAAACGGAGCCAATGTGGGTTCTGTAACTTAACTACTTCTGATACTACCTYGAGTTTCAGTCTGCAGTATCAGTTCACCACAAGTTTTGTAAGTAAAATAAAACTAATGTAAATATAGTTTATGCTAATTTTTATTAAGCCTTTTTGCAACATTCATCCCGTCTYTTAGAACTGGCTTGTACCAGCACTGTTTAAATTCCTTGTCAAGTTAATCTAAGCTGTTAGGAGCTGGTCTGGAGGTGTCTGTGCGCTCTGGGGTGGCCACAACGTCAGTGCTAGTTGATGGCGGTTGTTGCTTCTCGGCTGCAGGTGAGTACAACACAACCCAACACAACACCTCGCTTCAGCTGGTGCAGCAACAGTCAACAACTGGTGTCCAGGACCACTCATGGTGTCCAGGCCCACTCATGACACCCAGTCGTACCTTGYGTGCACTGATTTGCAGGAACTCTCTGCCTTTGAGATCTCTGTGCCTCTGTCAAATACAGTCCAAATCAGCTGTATTTAAAATCAGCTAAAACTGATTTTTAACATGTTTAAAAAATTATTATAAAAGCTTTTTTTCTTAGGAATATCAATCTTTAAAGTTGAGAGGGTTGCAGCAAAAAACCACTGAATTCTATTACATTCATTTAAAAATCATAAAATTTTTTAAAATTTTTTTAAAATCTTAAGAAAACTGATCCCAAATGCTTTTTAAAAGTGAAGAATAATTTCTTTGAAAATGTTACAAGAAACAGTGCAAGGACTTTAAAAGTGCAAAAACACATGAAGCACAAAAGAGAATCACATGTGCTGGAAAGTCAAATTCTCAGGGAACAGTTGGCCGCCAGATCTAAGCAAGAAGGTAAGTTCACACACACATATGCAGGATACTCACCAGAGAGAAAGGGCAGTTCTGTGTTCAGATTCTGGAATAACTGGGAAAAAACTCACAATTCAGGAAGATTTAGAGTAGGTCAAATGTTGTGAATCTGGTCAACATTGTATAGAACAGACAACTGGAGTATATAACATTAGGAAATGCTTTTGCAGTGAGCAGTGAGGTGGATTAGACAACCTCCTACGTTTTCTCATCTTTAATTTCACAGGCTCAGTAATGCATGTAGAATATCTTCACAACGCTCTTAATATATACTGCTTATTTTATCACTTTTATAAAAGTTTTTAATCTGCCATATTCATAAATTGGTCTCTCAGAATGGCTACTGAAGAGAAAATGCCTTTGAATGAGCCTTGCTTAAAACAAAGCATTTTCATCTTCGCAGAAAACTGCAGAGATTGAATCATCTTCTTACAGCTAGTTTAAAAATACACCATTCATAGTCAAGGTCAATGATGCTTATTGTGATGAAACAAAATTGTTTGCTTCATAGATGGAATTCACATCTCCTTGATATTCATATTTTTAAACAGATGCCTTACTTTTAAATGCATCTGCTGATAACTCTACAACATAATCAATCAGCATTTTTCTTGTAATTGTTGTGCATGTCTGGTACATTTAGATGGCTAAAATATAGACATTGATCCATGTTTAATGGCTCTAATCATCCTTTGCATTAATATCATACATTCAAATGGTGAGAAATAGATACATTGTTCTTCAATGAAATATATACAATGTTCTTCAAATGAAACTTTGGTTTTATTTTAACATACTTTTACCAGAGATCTAACACCCTGAAGCAGTGGTTTAGAATGAATCACAGAATAAATTAAAGATCTTTTTTTTCCTTGACAAGAAATCTAGATAGCCTCCTTATTTGTTTTTTAGATATGCGCCTGTGTTCTGAACTAATCGTTAGCAGTGTCACTTCGTAGTAGCACCAAATCACATCTTAGTTCTTAGTTTTAATGCAGTATGGTATATTATTCTTGAAAATCTTATTAAATCAATATTTTGAACATATAGCCTAGAAAAATATTTTTGCTGTTCATTTTTCTGTAAAGCATCTCAGAAAGTCTCTTTTCAACCATCCAAAAATACCAATAAGTTAATATCTTGAGAGTCTTTGTATGCTTTAAAGCAACAAATAAAACAATGTGGAAGGCAAAGTAATACTTTTTATTAAGCAAACGTAAGTTTTTAAAAAGAAAAAAAAAAGCACCTGGTGTGCATACATACCTAAATTTTTAACTAGGGCTTCCATACCTTAAGCTTCCACATAGTCAACATTTTATTCTATTTTGAGCACTTCATGTATCTGTAGGCCATCGTGTTTCCAATGATGCTGTTGACCTGAAGCCTCCAGAGGCTTTGTTGTTGGCTTTGATAGTCTGTCACGGTAAATACCATGTTTTGTACTTCTTTTATTGACTGTCAAACACTCCAGACTTGAGCACAACACAAACCCAGGGCATGATGTGTAACCCATTATCCTCCTTCTAAGGTCTGAGGTGAATTTTAACACCTCATCCTAGTCCATTAGCTTCAGAGGACTGAGGAGAAAACCTTGCCAATGAAGTAAACTCACATTCAAATTTTGAAGCTCAGCACATTTATTTGCTGGTGTGTTTCCTAGTAGCATTGCTACAATAGATTTAGTAGAAACTGTTGGTATCTGTCTTTCACCTTCAAAGTTGTAATCTCTTTCCTGCCTGGGATGGGGAAGGGAAGGGAAGGGAAGGGAAGGGAAGG